ATCATATTGCATCAGTGCACAGCCGATTGCAAAAGCACTGGCATCACAGACCACATGAAATGGTTTGTCTTGGTCTGCAATCGCCAATATTGGCGATTGCATCAAGCTTTGCTTGATACGTTTAAAGGAACGCTGACAGTCAGCGTTCCAATTCCACTTTACAATTTTCTTGAGTAAACAAGAAAGATGTACTGTCATTTCGGCGTAATTGCGCGAGTACTTGTGCAAGTACGCCGCTAGCCCAAGGAACTTCCTTAGTCCCTTGACATCGACTGGCACTGGCCAGTCGGTGATCGCCTTGACCTTCTCTGGATCAGGGCGTACGCCGTTCTTTCCGACGATGCACCCAAGAAGTGGTATTTCGCTAGCTGCGAATATACACTTCTTGAGGTTGGCGTACAACTTATGCTCGCGCATAAGTGTAAGAACCTTACGAACGTGAAGTCTATGGACTTCCACGTCTGTTTTCCCGTACATAGCCCGACTATGGACGAACACATCATCGAAGTAACTCGGTGCGAATTCGCGCACCGGTCTCAATAGATGTGAAACACATCTATTGAATGTGGCTGGTGCATTACTAAGCCCTTGCGGCATCACCAACCATTCCCAGAGCATACCACTGGGAGTGCTCACTGCTGTGTACGGGATGTCCCGTTCACGCATTAGGATCTGATAGAAACCATCCATCAGATCCATGGACGAAAAGATGGTACTCTTAGACATACCATCTATGATTACGTCCTTTCTCGGTATCGGCGTTTGCGCCGGTATCGTTGCAGCGTTCAACTTGTTGAACGCGTGTACAATCCGCCACCCTCCTGTGGCCTTGCGCACACAGAAGATCGGAGAGCTGTGAGGTGAAGTTGACTCCCTCACATGGCCCGCTGCTAGTCGATCGGCAAAGAACTTGTCGATCGCCTCGACCTTTTCCCGCGGCAGTGGCCACTTCTTCATGACACAATTTTTTGTGCCAAAAACAAGGTCGATATCGTGTCGATTACCTTAATCCTTAGGCAACTAGCACGGAACGGATTCAGGGAATACATCCTTGAATTCGACCAAATCCTTGTACAAAGGATTTGACTTCAGCGACTCCCAGGATTGCGATGTATATCGCTCAATTCGAGTCTTCTCATCAAGGACACTCTCGTCCATTGATGAGCTGCTGAGAACCCGTTCGTTCTCGGCAAAAACTGTTGCTGACCGAATGTCAGTCATGTACTCGTCTTCTGCGACGAGCACACAAATCTGCTTGACTTTGCCACTACGCAGATCACGCAAGAACCTTTTAGGTTCTAGCGTAGGCAACTGAGTTATCTCCGAAGTTAACTTCGGAGGCGCGATCAGATCAAGCGTATAAGCGCCTACGTTTGATCCGTCATTAACCAAGACGTTCAACGTCTCGGTTACTTCCTGGGGACTTATTCCCGCAGGCTCGATGGAACTTGTTCCATCGACTTCCTTTAGCTGTGGTGGCGCAACCTCAGCGAGATCCTCTACGATCAACTTTCCAGTTGATCTAGGATTACCGTGTTGCCGCTTCTGGGCAACCGGTTTACTCTTCGGTGAATGCTGCCCTCTAGGCGAGCATTCATGTCCCGGTCCACTCGACTTATTCGAGAGGTGGACCTTCGGCGCTACCTGTGCTTGTTCACAGCCACCGGCCCCTTTCTCCACAGTGTGGCTGTCTGTCACACTGAGTTCTTGTGCAGTCGCACTAACGACCGAATCACAAATGAGGCCATCACACTCACTCGTAGTACATTCACAAGCTTGTGAACGCTCCAAGACGTTCATCAGATGGCCATCTGAGGAACAAGCGGCAGGCATCTTCACGGTTCGATGCTACCAGCTGACCCATGGCTCGTACCTTCTGAGCCAGGTAATCCTAGGATGACATTAAATTTGTCATCCAGATCAAGTACGATGAAATCATCATCGTACTTTTTGCCTTCAAGCGTGTAGTGAATTCCCACTACACGTTTCTTTACTGTTACGGATGCGCCCGTTGCAAGGCGCACCGTCATCCTCGTTGGAGGGGTCTCGCGCTCAACATATTTGAGCCTACGATCATCTAGCGATTGGCGTCGAACAAAGTTGTTCGAAGCCCCACAATCAACTAGGGCGCGAAGTGACATGTTCTTTGTCACTTCGATCTTCAATGTGATGAGGGATACCTCATCACTGGGAGCGGCAACACACAGTGACTGTGTGTTGGGAGCAACCTTCGTCAAGAGTCCCGCGAACTCTCTTGACGTTGCTGGATCAGTAGGGCGCTCCGCCCCTACTGACCCCGACCGTTTTTTGATGGTCCACCACGTTGTTGCGATTTCGCAGCAACGTGGGACCCACGTCTCTGGCCCTTCTTGGCAGACGGTCGATCGTCACTCCCAGTGTTACGAGACACTGGGCGTGGGGCGCTACACTCATAAGCGTAGTCGACCAACTTCTGACAGCGATTGCACTTTTGCAATCGCTTGTACCCTGGAGAGCGAGGTTGCTCGCTCTCTACATAGGAGAGGTCCATTGGTTCTGGACCTCCGCCCTCCTGTCGCCTCGGTGGACGATAGGACCCCGAGTGGACGTGAGCCTGTTGCAGGCTAAATTCCTCCTGTTCCGCTGCAGAGATCGCTTGATCCAGCGGTTCTAGTTCCAAGCGGAACAGGTGGGTCTTGACAGGACCATCTGTCAGACCCTTGATGAACACAGTAACCTGCGTGTGTTCATCGATTGGGTTCAGTACGATACAGCTAACGAGGTATCGTACGTGTTGGGCGTAAGCGTGTATATCACGCTTACCCTGTTTCAAATCCAGGAGCTCAGCCGAGCCCTGAATTCGGCGCGAGGCGGTTCAAAAGTGTGTTTGAGCCGCGCCTTGAAGACGTCATACGTTGGGAAAACGTATGGGTCGTGCAGTTTGAGCCCTAAGGCCCAAGCTTTGGCACGTCCTGCCAAGTTCGACATGGCGAACTTGACCTTCATCGCATCGTCATCGATGCGACGAGCCTCAATGGCATCGTCGAGCTCGACGAACCATCTCAACAAGGAGTCGCTTTCGACTGCCTTGTACTTGGAGACATCAATCTTCAAGGACTCGGGTCGACATATACACGTCACCCCGGTAGCAACAGCACTAGCCTGCTGTTGTTTTTACAGTTCAGACTGTTGAGCACCCTGCTGCATCAACAAGTCAGCTTGTTGAGCACCTTGCTCTTTCAACAAGTCTACCTGTTGAGAACCTTGCTCCTGTAGCAAAAATGAGTTTCATTACGGCTTCGTCAATATTATATTGTATGAACTTGGCGATGGTTGCATGTTATTCGTCTTCACTAAGAGAAGGAGCAACATGGCATTAGAGGCAGAGGGGGTTGCCGATGTGTTCAGCCATACGCTGAACCGCATTCCATTCGAGGTCACTCAAATGGCGGAAGTCATCACGCGTTGCGTGATGACGTTCATCACCCGCTGATTCCATAGCGGGTGGTGCGGTGGTCGCTGAACGGACCACGAAGTGCTACCAGGTGTAATGGGGCACCCTCCGACTATACTGATTACAGTATAGTCTACTTTCACTGATTACAGTGAAAGCAGGTGCCTCAATTACCTCTCTTACACAAGAGGCAGAGGAAGCTTTAACTTCTAAACAAACGCTTAGAAGTAGAGAGAAAAGAAAAACTGTATTTAATATAGTTAACTATCTTAATAAAACTAATCTGTTATAACCTATGTTAACTATATTAAACTACAACTATGTATGTTGACAACTTGCCCTCCACTCATTGCGCGCGTCCATCGGTCATTGGTCAGCGCGTTGGTTGATATGATGGCCCATATCAACCAATGAGAGGGCATCTCCAACTTCATAGGAGATCTAGGAACAATATTATAAGAAAAGGTAATATTGTCAAAATATTATTAGTTATAATAATATTTTTATTGACACTTCATATAAGAGTCAATATTATGTAACGAGCTCACCCCGTTACATGTGTGGTGCGTATGATTAAGAAAATTTAAGACTGAGCTATAGTTAATGAAATATAATTAAATATAAACTTAACTACTGATTGGCTATATATATAGATCGGATACGCGACTCTTTAGAAGCGTATCCTATCGCATGAACTTAAATCTAGATTTAAGATCGCAACTGACGTCCTTCTGAGACGTCGCGATGCCTAGCTTCAATTAGCGTCATCCCTTCCATGTGAATCCATAAATGGATATCACATTCACAAGGGTGGATCACGTTGGTGTATCGCACCCAAGTGACAGGTCAAAAGTAATCATGGATACTTTTAGACCAAACATTAAGTATATTACTTTATGTTTACGTGTAACTAGATGCCCTGTTACAAGCTAGCTAGGATATAACGAAACAAATATCAATCTCTTTTTTGCATTTAAATTGTGTTTGCTATTGTTGTTCCATTTGTTTAACTTCTAACAGACTCAAGTTCAGATGGGATTACTATTGCTACAAAGTATAGCGGAGCTACACAGCTTTCAAGTCAGAGGAAGACTTATAGGCTAAAAGATTCTTAATTTATAGAACTAATAAAAGGTTACGAATTTTAGTCAACTTGTTTTAAGGAACTAATCAAACGTCTACGAAGTCTATCCGTTCTAAAGACCTGGAGGATACTTCTTCAGTCAACGGGGAATTTCTGGTGAAAGGCTGGCTGGGGCGGCGTGTCAGGCCTGTAGCGACTAGCGTGTCTGTCGGCGTGTGAAGTGCCTCATATAGCTAAAACAAAGATCAAAGGAGTGATTGGGTGCGAGTTAGTTTTTCCGTGGTGGCGGGTTAGCCTTTTTTCCATCATGCGTTATAACCGTAGTTTAAACCGTAATGACATGGCGACCATCACTCCTGATTATATCATGTGGCTCACGTAAAATGTATCCCCCTTCCAGTGAAAACCAGTCATTTTTGGACCTCGCATAATAATCGAAAGCCCAACGAAAAAGTCGAGGAGTTAAAAAGACTGTAGGAAATTATGGCTGATCGTCGTGATGAAAAGCCCGCGGACTTCTTACTACCAGAGACAGTTAAAAGCTGGTTCTCACACATGTACAAGCATTTAATGTCGGGCAACGTGCTCGACATGGCGCGTCTGTACGATCGTGAGTTCCATAACTTGACAAACAATTACTTTAAACAAACGTCGTGGCCTGAACCAAGTGCTGTAAAGTCTCTTGTGGACAATAATCCGACCTTTCTGTTGTTATATAAACAAATTTACTTTCGCCATCTGTTTTCACGGATGCAGCCAGGCATGGATATGAAAGTGGCGTCTTGGGAGACATATGTAGCCATCTTTGATGGGGTGTTGGATGGATCATTGAACCTTAAAGCATTGCCATCGCAATGGGTCTTTGATATTGTAGGCGAGTTTGTATACCAGTATCAGTCATACAGCCAATTTCGTGCCAAGGTCGCTACAAAAAGCGAGGCAGAGATCGCTTCGTACCAGGAAAACCTCTTGATCTGGGACACGAGTAAAGTGCTCAGCTATCTACACGCCCTGGTGCGTCATTCAAAGATTGTGGAGATTTTAAAGGAGGGAGAAGGTGTACAGACTTCGTCTGACGTAGTCACGGAGCTTGGATACTTTAGCCTCATTACACTGGCCCGTGCCCACGTACTGTTTGGAGACTATTACACGTCACTAAAGCTGCTGGAACCCATTGATCTTTTCAATAAGAGCTCACGTGGCGAGGCCAAAACCACGGCAAAGATCCATGAAAAGTCTCCTGGATGCCACGTCTCGGTGTTTTACCATATGGGTTTTGCCCAGCTCATGCTCGAGGACTTTGTTGCGGCAATTCACTCGTTTTCGACCATTATCCTGCAGGTGAACCGTAATCGCAACTATTACTCACGTTTTGCCGACTACGAGCAGCTCCATAAGCTTACGGAGAGGGCCATGGCTCTGCTTGCCATTGCACTATTTCTGTGCCCGGGACAGCGTGTGAACGATCAGATCCACGCGCTTATCCGTGAGAAGTACGGTGACAAGCAGGGCAAACTGCAGACAGGTGACACCTCCGCTCTCGGTGAACTGTTCAGCTTCTCTTGCCCCAAGTTTATCGTACCCGCTGTAGCGGTGGAGAGCAAAGCCGCCATCAACCGTAGTACCGAGGCTTCGCAGCGGCAGCAGAAAGCCTTCAACGATATGGTAGCCCGTCAGCAGCACATTCCAGCTGTGCGGTCGTACATTAAACTCTACCGATCCATTGACTTGGAAAAGCTGGCAGCATTCCGTCGTATCGACGTTGAGCTCGCGCGCGCCGAACTTATGGCCCTGAAAGTCAGCGGCTCGCGTCTCAAGCTGGATGTGCACGTCTTCTTGAACAACGATCTCGTCCTTATTGACGAAGAAACGAGTAACCAGCGTACGGGTGAGTTCTTTATTAACCACATTCACAAATTCGCGCGCATTGTGGACGAGTGCGCTGCCAATTAGTACGTCGTTAAGTCCGGAATTTCGATTCCGTGGTAAATTTTTGGCGAAGGAAAGTGGACACTTCAGTGTTGCGAACACTGAGTGAAGAGGAATATATAGCGCGGGACCGGAAGATTTGGGGGACAAAATGTCAAGGGGCGGTGGAACGTAGCGCTAACGCTTACAAGCCGGGCTCGACATTAGCATGCGGGGAAAGGCAACCGTATTTCAATCGTGCGTATGCGTTGAGTTGTTTGCGAACAGGACATTGTAGGTAGGTAGTTAGTTGGCCGGCTAGCAGCAGCATTGTAGTTCTATCTGCTTTCAACCGTTGTTTATTTTTGGTTGCTAAAAGTGCAGACCGGGATGTACCTCTGATACTATTTGGTACTTCATACGTATGCTGCAGTCAAAGAATAGTCAGCATCATTCGTGGGCTTCACTTAACGCCAATGCGAGCGCTGCTGGTGTTGAGGCTTGCTTATTGGCGACAACAATACAATAGTGCGCTTGCAATAAGTGAAACTCTTCCAGCTCATCGAAGATCTCAAGTCTTTCGCGCCTGTACAGAAACAAAAACATTAGCATTGTCATCTTCTGCACGAGCTGTACTTACGATTCTCACGTACTTGGTGCGTTCAGACGGATCCAGGTAGTGGTAGTAAATCTTGTTCATATCCCAGCACTGCGCTACCTCGTAGTTATGTTCTGTAAATCGTGCAATTTGCGCTTCTACAGTCGGAAAGTCGTAAATACTCAACAAGTCACATCCACGCGCCTTGATATTCGCCATCATTACTGTTCCAAACGCATCGTCAGGCAAAATCTGTTCGTACAGTACAAAGCTCACGTCTGCAAAGTATGACACCGCCCACGTCACTAGCTGCGTGGAGAATTTGGCATCCATGTAGATCAGCACACACTCTGACACAAACAGCGTTGGCACATTGCGATCAATACCTGCTGCTTCTAATTTGGTTCTTGTAGCATCCAAGTCCCTTAAATCACAAGGCAGTAAATGATACCCCGGTGTATTCAGCTCTGTGTACTCCGATGCCACTGCAGCCATAAATTCCTTGGTTGTTGCGAGCCCTAGCAGTTCATTAAGTGGTTTACGTCGTTTAATTGCACTCACTTTCTGCATGGTTACGTCCGGGAAATCCAGCTCGAAATACTCGCAATTACCAAGCATTTTACTACTTTTTAAACGAAAAAACATCGTGTCGAGTCCTGCACCTAAAATCACGACTTGTTTTTTTAGTTTCGAGTCACCAGCGCTTATAAATTTGGTCACAAGTGACTCGACAGCAGTGACTCGAGCGTAATAACCGCGATTGATAATCGGCATGCGACGTGACGGAATCTTGACAAAAAATTGCACAAATGGATCGTTATAATAGCCAAGATGACTGGCAGATAACTTGCACAAGGACGCATCCGCTGCTGTTTCCATTACGGCGCCATCGTGTTCTCCTGACAACATGATCGAATGCTTGTCACAAATCGCTCGGAAGACGAGAAGATTCGTATTTTTTGTGTAGTTATGATGTGGTATATTAAGTACGACGGATTGAAAAATCGCAGGTTTGTAACGTTTAAACGTTAATATCAACATTTCGCTGACTATTGGATAGTCGGCCAGGTCTTGTCTTCCTGCACCAGACACTACGTATTATTATCAACATGAGTAGCAATGAAGTGTGTATCAACGATCATCTTATTCATCGTCAACTATAATTACCGTCCATGTTATTACGTAGGTAAATCATAATAGGATTCAAACATTTTACGTCAAAGCTATAAGCACAGACTACGTAGCCAAAATCTGCAGCTAATTTCTTGTTCTTGAAATGCCTTCCCAAGAACTAAGAGGTTGTCGTAGTAGACCTTTGTGTTTTCGTAACATTTTAACGGCTGTATGTATTCGTGATAGTTGTTACTTACAACCAAGTACTGTACTTTGAACCGAATACTTGCAATGGGCGACTTGACTGCATCGACGAGCCAGAACCTACGAGAGTGGTACAGGACGTTTTGTCGTTCGTCCAAAGCGTCGCCACGTCGAGCACACTCGATCCAAAAAGTCTGTCTACTCCCCCTTTTCAATTCCTCTTTGGCGTCATCGCACTTCACAATCGACGCAGTTAATACACAGTAAAAAGTCTCCTCTATTTTAAATACGGACAAACCAGCACCACGTCACGAGAAAAAAAAACAATAAAAATTTCTCCTCATTCGAAGCAACACAAGCCGTTACGTACTTGTCCGTATAGTTTCTCTTCTGTAACGGGATTGCAGTGTCGCAGGACATTGAGCAATAAGAAGAAGACAAGTGGGTACACATTGACACATTAAACTACAGGAACGCCATGGACCGCACAAGCAGCCGAATTGTCTTGGACTATCGTGCATCTGAGCCAGTGTTGGCAGAGAGTGAACACTCGAGTCTGTGTGACGTACCGTTTTCCAGGTCACAAGTAAAGAGTCCGTCTAAATTCACGGCGGCGTCGTCGAATTCCGGCCATGCGTCACCGCATCGCCGATCAGTTATCCGTCATAAGCTGAAGCTGCCCGGTCTATCGAAGCACAAGCAGGTCAACAAATTACCGCGAATGGACGAGGTAATTTCGCGCGTTGAGATCACGGATGAACAGCAGGCTAAGATGCGAGAGCAGGCTGAAGAACTTATCGCAGCCGGTTTGCTCAAGTCCAAGGCGGCGTGGGACGGCAACAAGCAGATCTTTGACGACCCCAAGCTGTGGAAACTTCATAGCGCCAAGCCGCATCTTGCCGTGTACAAACGAAAAGATCCGCACCGTGGTGATGCTACTGCGAATCAGTTTGTCGCAACAGGACGCATTCCTGGCCTTACACTGCAGGACGTCGAGTATGGCAAGTATAGCGATACAACGCTGGATGAACGCTCCATCAGCGCGTACTTGTTTCGCGACTACTTTTTGGACGCCGCAGTGCTGCAGGTGCTGGAGACGCAGACAGAGGACGACCCATTTCGCTTTTTTGGCATCAAATGGATGGCGTTTGCCTCCCCCAGTGGACCGGCAAGATTTTTCTCCCCTAGAGATCACGCGTACTACGAATATGCCAAGACAGTGATTACCGAAGAGGGAGACAAAGTGCTGGTCAAAGTGATGCAGTCAGTTGGAGGCGATATTCTGCCTCCACTGCCTCAAACTGTAAGTTACGATAGACTTGGTGACAGCGTTGACCCGTCAAAATTGCGCTTCGTTCGCGGCCACCTATCGATTATATCGATGTACGTTTGTGACGAAGAGACCAACGCTGTCAAGGTGTTTGCTGAAGGTTCTCTGGATCCGGGAGGTCGAGCTAGTTCCTGGCTGGGGAGTGCGTTCCTTTCGCAGTTTGCGCCCACGTTCGTGCGGATTGAGTACTGCGCAGACATTAAGTACATCATGAAGCACGGCATGGTCTTTCCGCATTCGCCAGCAGCGCTCAGTCATTCTCAGTCGGCGCAGAGTTTCGTCAAGAGTCAGAGCACGATAAGCGGGTCCGAGGTTACGGCACATGGTCCCTCTGCGATGCCGCAATTAATGACACCAGCTCGTGAAATGGGGCGAATGTCCATCAGTCCTCAACCAAGCTGGATACCAGATCACCAGCGCAAAGTGTGCTTCGTGTGCTTTAAAAGTTTTGGTATCATCCGACGCCACCGCCATCACTGTCGTATGTGCGGTGAAGTCATGTGTGGCCGCTGCATGATTACATTACCACTTGTTGCACCGCCTTCTTCAGCTGTACAAGATGGGAGCGACGATAATGTTGAAGACGGTTTCCACCCTCACCGTTCGCATCGGCATGTGGACCAGCTTGAAGGTCGTCCAATGAGCATGTTACTGAAGCAACCAGCGAAGAAGATTCTGGAGGAGACTCGTTCGAACGGATATCCAGCCGTGAACAATGTGAAATTGTGCAAGAAGTGCATGTTTAGCATTCGTCAAGAGCGCAAGGGTACGATGAGGGGAGCTACAAATTTCTACGCTGCGCCCACTATGATCAAGCAATTTCCTCTGGTTTTGCAGGGTTCTCTGGCCGATAACGTTGGTCTTCGACCTGGACCGATGCGTGGCTTCTTCCCGGGTGGTCGCTACGCCGCTGATGATGAGCTCAATAGAAATGCTGGTGGAGGTCGCAACGATGAGGACGATATCGAAGAAACGGATGAGGAATACTCAGGTCGTGTTGAACACATGCGGCAAAAGCACATGGCGCGCGAGAGGAAGAAAAATTTGCGGCGTAGTATTCTTCTGTACGACGAAGACGATCTGAGCAACGGAGGAGAGTCTCCACCCGCTAGACCAAGTCATCTGTTTAACCGAGATGACAGCACGTTTAATTTCGACGATTTTCTGCTGCCGACGCCAAAGCGCGAAGAGGGTGGTCATAGTGCTGTCAGGTCAAGCTTGTGTAGCCGGGTGCTGAGCTCTACCAACAAAAGCGATGCAATTCCTCCATCGATACCTCGTCGGCCATCTACGGCAGCACGCCAGTCGGAGAGCAGCTCGAAACTTCGATCATTGTCGATTCCGGACCAATTGGAACAGGTAGAACGATCGATCGCACAGCAAGAGGCATTGATCCGATCAATTACGGAGCAGCGTAGCAAGATGTTCCGTTCTCCAGAAGATGACACCGCTGCGAAGACGACCGTAGCTACGACTGCCGGAGAAATTTCGTCAGAGGCACGGTCTTCCCTGCTTTACCCTGGATCGACCGAAACTGCGCCGACGCCCAGAGCCGACGCATTGACCACCCCGCTTTCCTTGCACTCTTCTTAGACGGAATCAATGTAGCATATATAGAGCATGACATTGCAGTGCAAATGTTAAAAATTACTGGCACGCATCTAACGCATCGATTCCCGAGATGTCGAAAAACATGACGCATTCTAGCAATAAAATGTTAACGTCTTATTTATCTAACCTTCATCTGGCCCTGATCGATTTACGCCCATCAGCTTACGCTTTTGATGGAGCTGCTGCTGCAAAAATAGAAGAGGTTGCTGCTTCCTTCTTGCGTTCCTGTTCAATGGTGCACAGGATACGAGCTTGGTCTGCTAGCGAGCTCTCAACTTGTGCGAGCGCTTGACGAAGGTCTCGCATCGGTTTATCAATTTCGGTGCACTCGTCTTCTTCATCTTCACTACACAGCGAAGTTGTCGATGCAGATGGCGATGGGATTCGTCGGTTTTGATACAAGGCATCGTCTTGTAAGTCACGCATTCGGCGCAACACTTTCTCGGTAGCCCTGACGGCAGCCCTAGCTACTCCCGCGCTAACAGCGAGTTCGTTTTTTTCTTCATCATTCAGCTCACAGAAGCTATTAAGCACTGGTTTTGGTTCCTCAACGTCCAGTACTCGGTTGGTCTGCGTGGGGTAAAACTGAATCGAGTCGTTGTCATCACTGTCAATGCTACTCTGGACGTCGGATCTGTGTTGGCTCGAGTTGCGTTCCAAGAGACCACCACTGTCGTTGCTGTTTTCATCTTTTTTCGCGAGCTCATACATCTGTAAAGACGTAAGAGATGAGGAAGTTGACAGTGCGTGAGGCGAGAGGATCATCACACGCTCATGATTAGCATGACTATCTAATCCACCATCCTCGTGTCCATTCCACTCCTGAGCGTACGAACCAGGCCGCGCAAACATCGACGACCCAGGTCTTGTGTCAAACGCATTCGAGCCTGGTCTTCTCTTCATTTCCGCAAGACCATCGACGCTTTCGGCATCCGTATCATCCACCACCAACATCGGAAGGTCTAGTTCACCTCCAAACATTTGCGCTTCGTCGTCATCAAGTCCGTCAAGCTCCTCTATTTCCATGTCGTCCGGTGTCCAGGTTTGCGATCGCAGATGAGAATACTCATTCAAGTCAAGTATTCCATTGCCGTCAGCAATGGAGGGTTCCATATCGCTGTGTCTTCGTCGCTTGGTAGATTTATTCTTGGATCGGTTAACAAGTGGGACACTCTGTAGACAGCGGAGACAGACCTTTGCTATCATCACGTATACCACAGCACCACCCCCAAGTACGGCCGTCTCCGCGGATCCGTCGACTAACTTCCTTGCATTCATCAGATTAAGACTCGCGTCAAACCTTCCGTCTTTGCTGTCCTCCTCCCCCACCTGCTTGTCGAAGCTACACGTCATAGTCTCTTCAAAGTTGATTGGCGCGTCTTCATGCTCAGCTGCTTTCGCATCTGCGATTAGGTCCACGGGTGTTTTTACAGTCCCTCTCAAGCCGCGAAAGCTTTGAGCAGCGCGGACATTAACTCGGTGGTGGAACATGCACTCGCGGCACATGATTTCACCACAGACACGACAATGGTGCTTAAAGCGCCGAACGAGACGAAACTTCTTGTTGCACACCGAGCAGTGTGGACGGAGTTCATCAGCTACCCACTCTTGTGTCATCTCAAGTGGTGGACCACTTGGTATTTTGCGTCGTCTTGACTTTTTCTTCTTCTTCTTCTTTTTCGATGCCCTCGCAAGCGCTTGATCTGCGCTGTCACTACTAATAGCGATACCCAGCGATGATCCGAACGACATGCAAGCAGGGAAAATGGAGCGCTCCGAACGCCAGAATGCCTTGAGATATCTGTACACGAGAATGTCTGGCATGCTACCCTTCACGTGAATTCGACCCTTAGCACATACGTGCAGCAAGGGGTTTATTACTTCATTTTCATCGTCCATCCAGTACACGAAAGCAGCTTCAACGTGTCCCCGCGTAAGACCAAAGTACGAGTCTTGGCCGCCGTATCCCCTGATATGTACCGACTGAGTCACTCGATACAGCATCCGACGTCCTGTTTCCGGATCTACGTGTGTGCCTAGATGTTCGAGGAAGACAAACTCGCGACTTGCCATGAAGGCTTGCACCGGGGAGCGCACTGCCAACCACTTGAGTCCAAGGTACCAGAACGGATCCTCGAGTGTAGCACCCTCAAGAGTCTGCAAGACACAACAATCCAGTACTGCTTCACCGTATACTTTCCTCATCGTTGCTCGCATTTCGTGTGTGTGTTCACAGTACAGCATGTTCATGACGTCCTCCAGTGAGTTGGGAAGAACGGCGTGAGCCATGAAATGCTGTCCGCTAGCAGCTTCAAACGGCACTGATGCAAACGGTTGAGAAGGCATTGGGTTCCGGATGACGTTATTAGTGCTGTGGAAGCTGCCAAGACTCGTGACACCTGGGATCGTGACGTGTGGAGTTGGTGGCGCAACCCGTTTATCGTCTTCCTGCTGTTGCTGTCCACCCTCTTGTTGTTGTGCATTAGCTACTACTTGCTTCCTGCCCTTCCTCTCTTTATTTTGTTTCTTGGCCATAAAGCACGCTGTCGGTCGAGCGGAGAGCACTTTCCAGCCGCTCGATACGGCGCGCTCGATGTTGGAACGTCCCCACGTCGGTCCGTCACGAATTGCATCTAGAGCTGCTTGCACTGCATATCCATGAAGCTCCTCGTGCTGTGCAGGTGTGAGGTTCAATTGAGGCAACAGACTCTCGTCAACAGGGAAGAAGGTTGAACTGATGGCCACACGCTTACGCTGCTGAGTCTCCATGCGATCCGCTGCCGTCAAAAGTGTCCACTTGATGGGATCCAATATTGCTTGATTACGACAACAATGGAGACGTTGGGTGGCAAGCGGACAAATGTAAGAGTGGATGAAGCTTGTGTGGCTGTCGACGCCGACGCTTTCGTGTGGATGCGCTCTTTTCTGCTGGAACGTCCACGTTTGTTCGGTTCAGGCTGTGCACGGAAGAAGACGTCGACTGGAGCTTTGTTCGTGGTCTCAACGTGATGCTCAACCCCAGCTTTGCCACGCACGTGCGACTCGATTCTACGCTACACTGCAGTCTACAAACGGGACTTTGAAACGTGATGATGATCAGACTGTCTACTAAATCCTAATGATTGTTTAAGATATCTCTGTGAGGGGATATTCCCTGATCTTCTACCATGACTACGTCATTCTCCTATGCTCAATCCGATGGGCTTCACGGAGGACACTTCAAAAGGGCACGTGGGACCATTTGATCAATCCCGAGCACAGGGCAGGTAGCGCTTTGAAAGTGAGGCAGGGAACTAAACCGGCTTTTCCAGACGGGCCAGCGTGACTTATGAGAGGAGTTTGCTACGTGGGACTGGAATTCGGGCTCGACGTACGAGCCGGCGATAAGGAGGCATTCTCTTCAATACGGCATGCAAACCTGACGGGGAGTAATAGCCACAAAGTCTCGAGGTGTGGAGCACGTCTATAAAGCATCAAAAAGGCATCAACAAGTTTATGCCCCTCCGTTCGCACGTTGCGTTGGGAGAGAAGGCCTTCCCCTTTCAACCTTGGTCTTATGATGGGATACTTTCCGCCCAAGGTAAGAGAACCGGCATGCCGGCTTGTTGGAGGCCTTCGTCGCATTCGGAAGAGGAATACAGCAGGTAGCACAAGTTACAGAACATTCAACAATTCATTTGTGGCTCATGAGGATCGCTGCGAATCAAGTGTCAATGAAGAATCCATTACGTTGTGAATCATCTAGAAGCGAGTCGTCTTGGTGCTGCGACAAGTGTAAGATACTGTTACTACCGACGATCTGCTGAAAGGCATAGCAGCAAAAGAGGAATTGCTTGCCACACTCGCGACTAATAAAAGCATGGAGCATGTGATTCATTACAACTGGATGGCGCGCTAGTCGCGCACATATGAGCAACTGAGTCTTTTGTAAACAACGTACTGAGCTCTTGCAGTTTTCAATGTCGTATGTGGCTCAATCGATCCCAGCAAGGCCATCTGGTGGTTGGTGGACAACATAAATACAATTTGCGAGCCACTATTCATGAGCTCTCTCTACTTCAATTGACCTATCGAGAGGGTATTTTCGATATCACGTGCATCGAAGCAAGACTGGGCTGGATAGCAAGTGCCAACACACAATTTAGTGAATGTTCCAAAACGCTTTTTTGATTCTGCGTAAAGACAACCTCAACTTCCTAGTTTTTTGTCCGTACTTTGTAGTACTAATGGTAGAAAATGTGCTGTAGCAACCATCTCAACACGAGCAAAACTACTCTTTTCCCTCACCTCGAAATCAATGCCAATTGATCATGTTTGCTTCTACCAGTCCTACATTCAAGCAGCAGTACAGGCCGAGCAAACTGATTCGTCCAGCTTAGGCCTTCTTGGCCGTAAAAACGAGTGGTCCAACATTGTCACCCGTTTCCTTGTTGTGCTTCATGTGAGAGCCATCACAGTACGGGAACTTGTTGGACTTCCAGCAGCGACAGACCGCACACTTGCCTTTCTCCTTGATGACGTCTTCCACGTCCGGTATCGACACAAAGTCCACCACCTTCTCCTTCTCCATCTGCACCTTACGGTTCACACGTCTAGGCTTTGAGTTGCCCTTGCCAGCAAACAGCGTCAGTCCCAGCATAAAGATAGTGATGAGAAGTGGCGCCAGATACATCCAATCGGCTTGTTTGAGCTTTAAAAAGCCCGAAAACGTGCGAGGCAGCGGCAACCCCTTGAGATAGCGCGGAAGATCTGTCTATAGACAAAAAAAGTGAGGCAATTTGTTGAGTTTCTAGTGTCAAGTGAAGGGACAAACGCACCTTTAGATACTTGCGGATGACGTCCATGATGCTTGGAATGAAGGAAGTCGTGAATGCCCAGATATTATCACTACGATTTTCAACGAATCATACAAGCTGAACATATCTCCGTCAAATGATTCGCTAAAAGTAGCGTTTCCTTTTACCCAATCATATCGACTTGAAGTCTTACAAGCTGTGTCTACTTCCTCTTAGAGATCTTGGAATACTTGGACGATCGCTTCTCCGTATTCGTGGTCGTTGAGCTGGTGGACGACGAGGTAACCGACATCTTGGGTTTCTCTGGAATGGTCTCACCCAATAGCTTCTTCTCGGCAAATTCCAGCTGCCACTCGTGCGTGTGGAGGCGGAGACTCACACGCTCCTGCTTGTACACCTTCGGTGCGTCAAATCCCATATTGGGACCAGCACCCATGCCCATCTGCATTTGCATTGCCTTGGCATCGTCGCTAGCTGCAAAACACAATATAGTAAAACAGATCAGTCCTTCATCTTCAAGCCGTGACAATCGTCATGAGCGAGACTATACCGCTCTTCTCGCCGAGGATGAGCGAGAGGAAACCACGCATGCCAAAGCTCACGAGAAAATACCACGACACTGACGATACGTACGACACATCGAGTGTGCTAGAATGTTCAGAAATAACAAAAGCAGCAACAAAAAGTAAGATATCGATATCTAGATCCAGATCACAAGTATTGCTGTGCCACCTTACTTGAGTTCAATGCCACGCTGCAGCATCATCTTAAACTTTTGGGTGAGAGAGAAAGGCACCTTAGCTGCGGTTTGGAAGCGTTAACAATAGGTTGACTTAGCGTGTGAACAGCAATAACCCCTTTACAAACAGTTGACGTACCCAGCACAAAACCACCAAAAAAGTAGCTCATGAGCCCCATCATGACAAAGTTCGACACCATAAATGTCATGTTCCCCTTCATCATCTCCAGCATACTGTTGGGGTTCATCATTTGGTTCATGGCTTCACTCTTGACCTTTTCGCGCAGAGCTCCCTTCATGCCGTCATTCTTTTGCGACGCCGTGAAATAGTGCTGCATACACACGAGAACCACAATACACGAGTCAATAACGACATTGAAACGTTTCAATCATGCAGCGTTTGCCTTCTAGTTTCTCACCTTGCGCATGGCAAAGGCATCAGGCGTAATAAACTTGGAATTGATGCGCGTAATCTGAGCGCGCTTGACCGTGTTCCTGTCAGTGAAAGATCGCAGCATTTAGCTCAGTTTTATATTATTCCATTTCGGGGGATTCTCCTTTTGATATCACGTACATGGACATGAGCTGCTCGACACTCGCCATCTTCTCGCTTTTAAGTAGCAGTGTAACGTAGTGACGCACCATGGCCGAACATCCAAAGATGATGATCATAGGCAACACCACCCAATCACGGATACTCGGGTCAAGGATAATCTCCACCATGTTTTTAGTCAGTCAACAGGCAAATAGACTTTTGCTAAAAGTTACTTGCTAAAAATTATCTACTAAAAGCTACTTGCTGAAGATTATCTACTAAAAGCTACTTGCTAAAGGTTATCTGCTAAAAGTTATGAAAGTATTTTAATTCGATCCTTACCGTCTTCTTCACGCAACATGCACACTCATGCAACCTCGTCTTTTATAGTTTAAGTTGGCGTTGATTTTGTGATGAATACTTACTGATTCGTCGTGTATACTCCTTGTACATACGACTACTATAGGCCGTACATGGTGAGCATTGGAAACCGTAAGTACAATGTGTTCTCGTGCTCACTACAAGATTGTGCTACTGATTTGCGCGGTCGTGGAACCTGCTTCTGCAGATGAATATGGCTACACCAAAGGCGGGAAGCATGACCTCAGCGGAGGTATGCTGCCATATGGAGGCAGTTTTAACCCTTCGTGGGGAAATTTCGGTGCCGATTCTGGAGGAGAATGTGGAGTGCCTATGCACCACCGGTGGCACGGTAAGATGTGTTCTTTTTGTCTTGCTTGTGGTGCGATACGATGCTTAACATTTTGTGTGGATCTGATAGTCCCTAAGACAGGAAATTGGATTTACTGGTACAGCTTCAATTACGGGGGCATTCATGTAATTCAAATGTAGACTGAGCACAACTGGACCAGAGGATCTGAGCTACATTACTCCATTTATATAATCGAGCATTCTCCATTTGCTGCCACGTGCATGAATAGGAGCTGCTCGACACTCGCCACTCCCCGCGAGTGTCGTTTTAAGCAGCAGTGCAGCGTAGTGGCACACCATGGACAGACATACAAAGATGATGATAATAGACAGCGCAACGCAATCATGGATACTCAAGTCCAGAATGAGCTTTAAGACGCAACTACACTGTCATCGTAACCGATAGGAGACATCTCTAGGTGCTAGAAATGGCTAAGGCTATAACGGTAAATAGGCCAATCTTGTTCTACATACCCCCTCAATACCAGTATGGTAAATAGATAGTCATTGGCCAAAAGTCGCGCGTATGTTTTTATCCAATCTTGTTCCGTCTGTTTCACGCATTTCATCACATTCAAGGACACGGTAATGATGACAGAAAACGATACGTCTGGAAGTTATTGCTGTCTATGGAAGCGTAGAACCGCCTTCGTGACCGTCGCGCTATGTGGTCTGGTTGGCTTTGTACTAATAGCTTTCTTGGATCTGCCGTGGGAAGTCAAGAGGACCATGCACGTTGTCGACATCGCTAATAGGCTGATTCCGACCAAGAACACCACCGACGTTGATAATAGGCTGGTTCCAATTAAGAACACCACCGACGTGGCTGATAGGCTGATTCCGACTAAGGACGTTGAAAACTTACTTCCAACCACGAATGCTAGTAGACTGAATTCAACCAAGGACCTTGTCGAAGTCAAGGAATTCGAATTAAAGACATATCCTCCATTAATTGAAAGTGGCGGAGACGTCGTCGTATCATGGGAGAGAAACAACGCGACGACCTTGACAAATCACGATTACGTGACGCTGAGCTGCGGTCCAACGACGGGAGAAGGAGACTATTTCTATAATAAGACGGTACGCGTGTCCGACCTTTCGGTCAGATTCTCGTCGCTCTACATGATGCGCTGCAATTACACGGCGATCTACTATAATTACGAGGAGATTTCGGGCAAACATAGGGCCATTGCAAAGGTGGAAACAGGAATGAAGGAGCCGGCGGAGACACCCAAGCATGGTCACTTGAGTTTCACGGACGATGAGAAGGCGATGGCAATTATGTTTAATTCAGGGACCTCAAAAACACCGATGGTTAAGTATGGGATGAAGCCGGACGATCTCAAGTTTTATGCAACGGGGACGTCCACGACCTACGGTGCCGATGACATGTGAGTGTTGATATTTGTTTGGAGTGGGAGAGAATGTGATGTCATTTGATACTAAAGTAGATGCTGAAGGTGTCACGCTCCTGCGACCACTGTTGGACAGATATATTTCCGTGATCCGGGCTACATGCACACAGTTATCATGACTGATTTGAAGCCCAATACGTACTACTTTTATCAGTACGGCCACGAAGAGCACGGATTGAGTAAGGTGCATCGATTCAAGTCACGACCTTTGAGTAGCTATAAATATGCAAACTTCATTGCATATGGAGACATGGGAGCGTTCGCAGCGCCTTTTGGTGGTTCAGAGTCTACTGCTGCTAAAGCTTTAAAGGATGTGGTTGAAGACGAATACGATTCGTTTTTGCTGCACTTTGGCGATATCAGGTACGAAAAAGCAAGCACTCTTGTTGCATAACGTTGCTAGAACGGCTAACTCTACCCGTATTTTTAATAACCGATCTATAGTTATGCTCGATCACAAGGCCACGTCTGGGATCAATTCTTTCATTTGATCGAGCCGTACGCAACCAGAGTGTGCGTTTTGAAGTTGGCGTTGGCGTTGATTTTGTGATGAATACTTACTGATTCGTCGTGTATACTTGCTTTTACATACGACTGCTGTAGGCCGTACATGGTGAGCATTGGAAACCGTAAGTACAATGTGTTCTCGTGCTCACTACAAGATTGTGCTACTGATTTGCGCGGTCGTGGAACCTGCTTCTGCAGATGAATATGGCTACACCAAAGGCGGGAAGCATGACCTCAGCGGAGGTATGCTGCCATATGGAGGCAGTTTTAACCCTTCGTGGGGAAATTTCGGTGCCGATTCTGGAGGAGAATGTGGAGTGCCTATGCACCACCGGTGGCACGGTAAGATGTGTTCTTTTTGTCTTGCTTGTGGTGCGATACGATGCTTAACATTTTGTGTGGATCTGATAGTCCCTAAGACAGGAAATTGGATTTACTGGTACAGCTTCAATTACGGGGGCATTCATGTAATTCAAATGTCGACCGAGCACAACTGGACCAGAGGATCTGAGCAATACAAGTGGCTTGAGAACGATTTAGAGCAAGTGGATCGTAATGTTACACCATGGGTGGTGCTAACAGCGCATCGCATGATGGTACGGCATCTTGGATCATACTCTGGCGGATTATCGGCTAATGTTTGTTTTTATTTTCAGTACTCGAGCCAGTTGAACATTGAGCCCGATATGGAAGTTTCCTATCATTTTCAAGAAGAAGTTGAAGATTTGATTTACAAGCATCGCGTCAACGTAATGTTGGTACGTTCATGTGTTGCTGTGGGCCGTCGAAAAATAAGCTTTGCGCTAAGCGTTTATATGATTAGGTCGGCCATGAGCATTCCTACGAACGTACCTGTCCCGTGTATCGCAAGAAGTGTGTGGAAAACGGAAAGGGCACAGTCCATCTTGTTGTGGGATCCGCTGGATATCCTTTGGGGCCAGATGGATTTTCTTCAAAATACGGGAACTACAGTCTTCGTCACGTGAATGAGTACGGATATATTCGCGTCACTTCGAGTCCAAACGACATGCGCTTCCAGTTTGTGCTCGTCGAGAACGGTAATATTTACGATGAGTTTACCATCACGCCCTGGGAGGACTCGTAGACGATCTAGGGTAGCTGGATGCGTGATCGTCGGCTGCTTATTGTAGGCATTTCACTGTGCTTGGCAATGTAGAAAGCTTGTAAGCGATTTAATATTTGTTGTCCATCGTGAACTAGATAAGACTCTGTGCCAACCTTCTCAAAGCGATCAGCTGTAAATGAAGAAGCAGTCTCAGCGTCGCAAGCACACCATTAACTTGAAAACGAGCGATAGGGCTCAAGACAGAACTCTGTAAGACCAAGAAAAGTTCAGAGTCAAAGGAGCTGCATAAATTATAGAATGGCGTCCACACTAAAGGTAGGTGGGTCAGCTGTCTGTGAAGACTGGATTAAACTATAATGACGTTCCCTCAAGTTCTGCTGGTCAATTTGAGTCCTTATGGTCAGCGTCGCTCTGCTTCTGTGCTGCTGCACTTTCCGCCCGTCGGTCGATGTTACGCTTCACCAACACGCTGAAGCCTCGCGTTACATCGACAAGCGAAAAGACTGTGGCTAGGATTAGGCCACCCGTCACCGTCTTGTGCAAGATGTCTGCAACCTTGTTTGAGCCGGACATAGTGTCTATAGTTTGGGTGGTCTATTGGTCTGATTGAAATATGTGGTATATCTGTATATGTACTGAAATAACTCGTATAAGTGCGAGATCAGACAGAAGGAAAAATCCTACAAGATTATACTTGCACATCTCACATCATATTTTACAGGTTATCCATAAAGCCCTCCGAGCCACAAAAACAAATACGAGAATATGGCTACGAGATTTCTTAACCGCGTGGCCAGCATCGGCGCTACTGTCGGCATCGGCGGTTTCTGCCTGCAGGAGTGCATCTATGACGGTGCGTCCTTGTTTTCTCTATACGTCGTAACCTTTTGTGTCTTCGTAGCCATTTTACAAGCGGCAGGAGAGCGTATGCAAGAAGAGCTACATAGTTGTTAACGGTTTTCTTGTAATGTTATATCTGATACAGTCGACGGTGGACATCGCGCCGTGATCTTTGATCGTAAAGACGGTATTCTGGATAAGTCTGTGGGCGAAGGCACGCACTTTAAAATCCCATTCTTCCAGTACCCGACGATCCTAGACGTGCGTTCAAACTATCGCCTTATCAGCTCGCGCACGGGCACGAAGGACTTGCAGAACGTCAACATGTCACTGCGTTGCCTGTATCGACCAAATGCCGAGAAGTTGTCGCACATCTATGCCGAGTACGGCGCCGACTACGCCGACCGGATCTTGCCGTCTGTGGGTAATGAGGTGCTCAAGTCGATTGTGGCCCAATACGACGCCGTGGAGTTGTTGGCTCGCCGTGATCAGGTGTCGCAGCAGATTGCCAAAGAAATGAACGAGCGTTGCAGCCACTTCTACCTGTTACTAGACGATGTGTCCCTCACGCACCTTGAGTATGGCCCGGAGTTTACACGCGCCGTCGAGTCGAAGCAGGTTGCGCAGCAAGACGCTGAACGTCAGAAGTTTGTGGTCATGCGCTCTGAGCAGGAACGCAAGGCCACTGTCATTAAGGCTGAGGGTGAGTCTGAGGCCGCTCGTCTGGTCTCTGACGCTGTCGCCAAGAGTGGCACTGGTTTCATCGAGGTGCAGCGTATTGATGCCGCTCGAGAGATTGCTGAGACGCTTGCTAAGTCGCGCAATGTCACGTACCTTCCCAATCAGGATGGTGGTAATGGCGGTGTGCTGCTCGGCCTACAGTAACGGCGACTGTTTTTTCTGACCAGCGCTTCATTTTCAATGGAATCTTGATTTTGGTTTAGTCTGCAGAATCTGCTGGGGTTACTGATACAACGATAAAACAGTTGTTGAAACGCTGTTATTTCAATCAAGAAAGCGCTAAATATCTACCGCAGATGATTTAACGTTTAATCGCTTAAATGATATAAAGAGAAAAATGTGTAAAAGCAAAAAAAAAGCTGTACTATACCGTTATGTACTCTCTGATGTACCGGTACGATTGCAAAATATCCCATAGCAAGATATATTTTACTACCGGTACGAAAAAAGGTAAATTACGGTAAATGATTGTTGCACTAGCTCTTATATAACAGTCATGAGGGTGATCTGCATATCAAATGCTTCTCGCGTCTCATTGAGACTCTCGACGCTACAGCGTGCTCGTCTGCATATGGGACGTGCCACTGGCTCTGCCACCGCAGACTTCATTCGACGCTCTCCCTTTAATGCTAGCGCATGTCCAAAGCTTCGTATAAGCCCGTCAGGAACCGATGCGCACTGGGTCCATGTTGGCAAGAGAGGGATTGGGAGCCCCGACCTTTGGGCTAAAGACATGCCTCGCATTGACAATATCAAGACGCTCATGTCTTCGTGCACAAGCAACTTCATACAGACCGCTGTGAATCCGCTAAGGACCACGGAATTGGGTGAAAAGAAGGTCAACGTGGAAGCTCTGGTACTGAAGGAGGCCATTGAAGATCTAGAAATCTCTCGTGAATGTTTTGTAGTGTCTACAATGATTGGTAGCAATGTGGTGGACTCGACCAATCCGGAGACAAATGAAAGATTGACCAGAAAATATGTGGAGAAGGGGTTGGAAATTACGATGAAGGAGCTGGATGTCGAGACAGTGGACCATGTCGTCTGTCAGATCCCGGACGAATTGGCTGTGCTGCCAGAAAAGCAGAGGGAGTTGATGGAGAAATTAAGAGCTACGTGTGATGTATTGGAAACGTTGTGCAATCAAGGAAAAGTGCAGAGTTACGGCTTTTCGTTGCCAAGTTTCGATGTGTCGAGTAAACCACTGGAACAGTTAGTGGAGAAGACGTTTACGCCGTTGTCGGAACAGTTTGGACGATTCGCTTCACTGCAGCTTCCCCAGCATGTAGGTAGCGCGATTATTCCGCTGCCGGAATGTGTGATGCAATTCCGCGAGGAACGTGAGATGCTTCTTATTGGTGACCGACCAATTGAAGCGATGCTGTCGAGCGGCAACCCTTTCCATCTTAAGACGTACAACATCATCCCTGGTGAGGATGTGGCGTTGCCACTGAAGTCGGCGTTTAACCTGAGTATTGCTATAGAGAAAAAGTACATGGAGAAGATTCGGCCAGCGAATGAGCATCTTGATTTGCCACCGGTAGATGATGTGGCGTGGGCGCACATTCTGGCCAACCAGCACAGCCAATTTGACAATCTTCAGGTCTGGCTGTATGTCCGTGAGACACAAATCTTCCCTCGCTTGAACGCAACCATTAAGCGATTCAACAAGCACAAGGAGACCGAGGAGCTGGGATTCGCTTACTCGATGGCCTTGAACCAACTGCTGAAATGTTTTACTAGATCGGTCGAGGTAGGTCAATCAATGAACTTCTTCTTGGGGGCTGCGCATTCCATTCACTGACACTTTTCTACTATCTGATAGCTGGTAGACGCTGATCGCTCCACAAGACTCATGACTGCGTGGAAGGAAGAAGATGGGTTGCTTCCGTCGGACAAGATCACTACTGAAGAAGTGGCAGTGATAGCAGCTCTTAGCTCCGGCATGGACATCACTTTACTTGAAGAGCAGCTCCCCGCTTCGTCCTCGCTTCCTTTCACCCACAAATTCTCCTCGAACCAGTTGCAAAAGATTGCGATGCTAGCGGAGCCACACCTTACCGTTGAATAAGCGGCTAACTCGTTAGCGTATTAGCCAACATAGAAATAATTTGTTCAGCTACAGATGACCGCTGTCTCTTTAGTAGAACAACTGAATTGCTCTGACACCTTGAAGACGTCAATTTCGATTACATCCAAGCTAAAACAATACACCTGTTCTTCCTAAGCGGGAAGCAAAACTAAGCTGCTTCAGCACGTCGCCGTACCGTAACTCGATTGCATAATAAAGTATTGTTAAATACACGTGCATGGTCCTTGCCTTTCTGAGTCGCGTAGACTGTTTTGTTGCAATCTTCTATGCTAAGAGCTCTAGTAAGCTAGTACCACGCCTCTGCTTATACAGGACATTAGCGGGTGCGCACCTTCTGATTTACAAGAATACATTTGCTTAGCTTGACTCAAAGACGACTTCCTACGCTCTCTGAGCTGTTCCGACTGAGCATAAGCTCATACATGCGGTTAGCAGGTGCACACTACGGAAGCACCACCATTTTGCACCTACGAGGAAGCGGTTCAACCAACTTTTCCCGCGTGCAATAAGGTAGGTGCTTGCGTAGTGCGTGTCAGCTGAAAAGCGCCCGCCTACGCTTGGTAGCAATAGTAGTCCTTTCCACGTCCCGTCGCAATGTGAGCGTGTCAGTGAATATGAGGCTCAAAGTTGATCGGAATCATATCCCCCACCTCTCCGAGCATCATCTGGAGGTTGCTGAGCGTAACGGCTCAAAGACTTTTTGAGAAATTCGTGGCTAATCTCTTGGTTGTCCACCCTGAGCAACATGTTGCTCAGTAGTAATAGTTTGAGTCTATTGTGCTCGGACAGCAGAGCTGAGCACATGAATTACTCATGACAGCACGGTCATATGGACTGGCCCTTTTTAAGAAGGTGCCGTCAACTATGTAAGTGGCTATATAAGCTGCCTTGATTGAGGAGCATCCCACCCAACATGGCCTCGCTGACGGCTTGCAAGCGTTTTCGGCGGATAGCAGCATTCATAAGATGTCTCGCTGCTATGCGCTAGCGCGAAAGTGCCTAGCAAGTAGACCCTTGGTGCTGAGAACCACCAGTTCCGCTTCAAACACTTACGATTCCTACTGTGGAAGCGCAGTAGAGGCGGCATGCCCTTTCGACGTGGACTCTAAATCTACCCCACAATTTGGAGTTGTTAAAATAAGTGGGTAGCATCTGCCGAAAGATCGGTTCTCAACCCTGCTGGTCTATAGCGCTCGAGTTCAAGGGTATAAGCAGGTGGTGGTTTTCTCGTGTATTATGGGCATCCTATAATATGTAAAACTTGCAGCTTTAAAAAGAGTAGGATCGGTTAAATAGGCGCTTTGCTAGGAAGGCAAGCAAAAAAATTTGTTTAGCAAATGGTGCGCTAGTGGGATCGGAGGGAGTTCAGATTGACATTTGAGGCAGCAGCGCCTCCAGCTTTAGTGACTTCTTTTGTATAGAAAATGCCATAGTGCTAGCTATGAAGAATCTGCATAACCTCATTCTTGTAACGGGCTACTTTGCATATATAACACAAACAGAAATAAACAATTGCATATGTAGGCAGGTGCTGTGTCCAAATAGCGTGCACAGTCGTAGCAACTTATTATTGTTTTTTTATTTGGGGCCTAAGGACCCAATATGAACCAATGACAAATCAACTTGAAAATGAGTGGTTCCCGAAAGGCAGGAACACGGTCTTATTTAGTTTGATGTACAAATCTTCGTAATTACTACGAATTAAAAACAAAACAAAAATTAGAGTTGAATTTACTTAATGCATATTACTTGGGCTTGAGTTTTCATCATGCGTACGTGTAAGCTAGTGACGGACGTGCTGGTCCCGTTACACCTGGAAGAACGTGGTAGTCCTTCCCCGAGTTGGGGATGAGCGAATCGTCGTATTTTGACGCTCCAGATTTGTTTCTGGAGCACGCGACCTTCCCCCATCTCACTAATGTTGAATAGGATGCCCTTGATCGCCTCATGGCGATATCAGGAGAGACGTTCGTCACGTCGCTGATGAGATCAGCGACCCCTGATGGGCAACGTCTCGCCATTCATGAGTATATGTCTTGCGACCATACTGAATTCAATCGGCGAGGTTTAAATCCCTCGTTACCTTCACGGAACGATTCCGTGAAGATGGAAACCTCCTCCTTCTCAGGAGAAGGTAAAGTCGATTGTCGCTGAATCGATATTTCCAAGAAGTCGACATCGCTATCGCCTTGAGGCTTTTCAAGGCTCCCTAGGCTTCCCAAGGCTCCTTAGGCAGATGTTGTGGGGAAGTGCCAGGGAAATGGAGGCCCTTCGCAATTGTAACAATAACTGGCGGGAAGGGTCTCGGTCACTCCCTTAAACGAAAGACAGGGAGTGACCAAGATCTCGAAGTGGTCCGGGGTCCTGAATAAGATAAGGAACAAGGTCGTCCTATATTGCAAAGCCGGCACAAAACCAGTAGCCCAAAGGTCCAGTGCCATGAAAGTAGTCCAGGCACCCCAAGTGACCGGACGACCAAAGGTGGACCCAGAATCCCAGGTGACCACCCAAGTGACCGGATGACCCCAGGTGGCCAGGTGACCCAAGGTTAAGAAGGTACAAGGCTTCCCTAAAGTCCAGAGCCGGTACAAGTCCCATGTCATAGAAGAGCCAGTTGTTCTTTCACAAGTTGACACGTAACACTACCCAGAGAGAAGGGTCAGGGATAGGCAAGAAAAAGCATACAAAGTATAAGATAAATAAACTCACTCAAATTGCATTACACGTGGCAGCTTTAAGCGCCCCTTCCTAGCTTCTCCGTCGCCTCACCTCTTCCGGGCGGGATACCCTTTGTCCCCCGACGTCAGCAAGTGTTAGAAGGCTCAAGCTACGCAAGTTGAGCCTCAAGATAGCTGGCCTGAGGTGTCAAGCAAGTGTCAAGACTCTACGACCCGCTACAGGAAGCGGTTTCCCTACGGGGAAGAACACAAAGGGGTCCAAGGACCAAGAACAGTCATCCACCAAAGGAGTACATAGTACCAGGTGCATTGCTCTCGACTCAGTCGATTGAGCACAAGAAACTCGGTCCCGAGTAAAGCATATCCACTCGGGGACCACCAAGTCCCTCTTTACAAGGATTAAGTCCATAATACTTCTGCGTCTAACGAGGAGCAAGACCAGCCAAGCCGACGGGTACACAAGGTGAGACCCAAGGTTAACACGACACGGTATCGGCTGGAAGATAAAAAGGAGATGTTTACGGTACCCCCTCCGTAAGTCGGCAGTCCGGCGCTGTATGTGTTTGTGGTTCTCTCACGTTGTTTGAGAATCCACTCCACCACAATGTCAACTTCCTCCTTTCCCGTCTCACGGGGAAAGCCAAGGGATGGGCTCTTGGTAAGCTCGTCGTGGACAAGCACGCGTTCCTCAGCCTGGATGACATCCAAGACGACCTTCGTCTTGCCTTCTATTCACCGCGAGAGGAGAAATTGGTGCGCTAAGATTCCTTTCTATGGGACAGAGCAAAATGGCGATGCGCGACTACGTGCAAATGGCTCGGCATCTGGCAGCGTGTATCTTCACACATCCCATGGACATGTACGTGTCTTTTTGGATGGTATGCGTGAGGGGCAGACCCGCTTATCTCTCGAGTGCGCGGGGCCTACCACATTGGAGGAGGCATTTGCCATTCCCCTTCGTGAGGACTTAGCGGGCACCAAGTCTTATACCTTTATCGCTTTTCTTCTTTTCAGTGTACAACTTCGTCGTGCACTACAATCCGGGCAAGAATAATATTCTTTCCGACGCTCTATCACGACGTCCCGACTACAGGATATCAGACTGCGCTGAGTCGTCGCGTAATTGACGACGAAGAAGATGATGATCAATGTGCGATGTGTGTATCGTTGAATTTATTTCGTGTCATCCCTGAGCTGTGCTTACTCGACAAAATTGTCGCAGCTTACGAGAATGGTCCAGGTTACGCGTTAATATTGCTTATCTACGCGCTCTTAGTGATTTTACACTGGGAGCTCTATCACGGACCAAGCGTATCATGATTAGCAATATATTTGGGATGGAGACGTGTCTGTGCCGCATCGATCAATTCAATTCTCCTCGTATGGTGATCGCCAACGGCATGGATTTGCGTGATAGGATCATTCACGAGTATCATGATGCCCCAGCTGGTGGCTACTTAGGCCACAAAAAAATTATCGCGGCTGTGTCTCGGGACTTTTTCTGGCCAAACATGTACAAGCGCAACTGGATTTTACGTGTGAACTCTGTTAATGAGCGAAGCCAACTCGATCGTTGCAGGCTTCCTTTGATGATTGCGGCTGAGGCCTGGCGCTCAGTTTCGATGGACTTCATCTTCGGGCTCGCGCCCGATAGTCAAGCTCGTATGGGTATCCTGGTTTTTGTTGACAAATTTAGCAAGATGACACATCTAGTGTCTGGCCACGCTACGGTCACCGTGACAGAGACCGCTTTATCGTCATTGACGCGGTGTTTGGTCATCATGGCCTTCCAGAATTGATTGTTTCGAACCGTGATCCGCGATTCACATCCGCATTTTAGACGTCACTGTTCAAGGGTATCGGTACAAAGCTGCAGATATCGACTGCGGCCCACCCGGAAACGAATGGGCAAACCGAGCGCGTAAACCGGTTCATCGAAGACGTTCTTCGAAGTTATGTTACGTCATTCACAAGTTGAAGTGCATTTTACCACTTTCTGAGTTCGTACTTAACAATGCCGTACACGCGTCAACAGGTTTGACGACATTTTTAGTGAATTAGGCTCATCACCCTCGATTTACTACTCTTCTTGCCGTGGGTCATCCTACGGCACCTAGTGGCTCCCCTCGGGGAGAGATGGAGGTTATTAACAAGGATTGAGTGCAGCTCCCGGTATTTTTAGCGCTAATGTAGTAACCCGATCAAAGACGAAGACTGCTACTTCGGCGCCACGTCACGTGGCGCTCCCTTTATCTTGATGGACTGCGCATACATTAATCGACAAGTCTTTGGGTAAGCGTT